AGCCTGCTTCTCCCTCTCCCACTCCTCCTGCTTGTGTTCCCTTTCTCGCTGTGTCTCTCTCTGTCAAATAAATAAATAAAATCTTTAAAAAAAAACTAAAGATCTTTATAAAAAAACAAACAAAAAACTCTCTTTCCCTCTACCCATCCCCACTGCCTTCTCTCTCTCTCTCTCTCTCTCATTCTCGCTCTCCCACTCTCACTCTCTAAAATAAATAAATAAATCTTTAAAAAATAAAATAAAGTGCTGAAGGAATAAAAGTCAACCAAGAATTCCATATTGGGCAAAACTATCCTTCAAAAATGAAAGAGAAGTTAAGATATTCCACATGAACAAAACCTGAGGAATTTTGTTGCTAGTAGACCTACTCTACAAGAAATGCTATAGGGAGTCCTTCAGGCATAAATGAGAGGCCACTAGACAGTAACTCAAAGTCATGTGAAGAAATAAAGAGCAGCAGTAAAGGAAGGAAGCACATACTCATCTCGATGCAACAATATTTTTACAAAATCCAACACCATTTCATGATAATACTCAACAAACTAGGAATAGAAGGGAATTTCCTCAACCTGATAAATGGCATCTATTAAAAACCCACAGATAACATCACACTTAATGGTGAAGGATTGAAAATGTTCCTTCTAGGATCAGGAACAACACAAAGATACCATTTCTGACACTTCTGTTCAACACTGTATTGGAAGTTCTAACCAGAGCAGTTATGAAAGGAAAATAAATAAAAAGTATTCAAAATGGTAAGGAAGAAGTAAAACTATTTCTATTTGCAGATGGCATGATCTTTCATATAGAAAATCCTTTAAAATCCACTAAAATACTACTAGAACTCATAAATGAATTCAGTGCAATTGAAGGATACTACAGTCAACATACAAAAATCAGTTGTATTCCTTTACACTATCAATGAATAATACAAAAGTAAATTAGGAAAACAATTCCATTTTCAACAGTATCAAAAATAACAAAATACTTTGGAATAAACTTAAGGAAGGAGGAGAAAGACTTCTCTGCTGAAAACCACAAACCATTACTGAAATAATTTAAAGAAGACCTAAAAAATGGACATTTATATTAGTTTCTTAGGGCT